TTTTTTTTTTTGCTTGCTTCCTTTGACAAAAAGATTTATCCTGGTATTTATAGAGCTGTTCATCCTATTTTAAGTTTCATACTTGTCTTTTAGAAAGTTATTTTCACTCAGATCATCTTTTTCTACCTTTATTCTTGTCCCCCATCCCCTTGCTCCATTGCTTCTGGAATTTGGTTTTCCCTAGGTTTCTATTTTTGGCTCTCAAACAACATATTCTCCATAGTGAAGTTGTATTCGTGTAGCTTCCGTTTTTGACCATACCGAACCTCTATAACAAGCTCAGGCCTTGCTCCAAGTTTCAGATTCATAGATCAAAATTTTATTGGACATGACTTGACCATTCACATGCAATATGCATAAAGCAGAACTTAAAAGTTTTCCTCCCAAACGGCTATTGTTCCTGTATAGTCTAGTTCAGCAAACAGCATTTTCATCTCCCCATTCACTGAAGTCAGACACTGACATGAAGCTGACAGGCTGCCTCCACCTCCAAGTGGAAACCTCGGCACGGGATTTTCCTCCTTAACCATCTTGTGCACTTTTCATTGCACCCGCAATGCTACTTCCAAATGCTGCTGACTCCTCACTAGATTCTTCAGGTCCTAAGTGATTTCTGCTCCGATGCTGATAAAGTTGAACTATTGTCCTGCATAATCCCTTCTAGTTGCTCTCTTTTCCCCTAGGAATGGATGACAAAGTGCAAAGCTCAGATAATGTCACTAAGGCTTCCCAGGTACTGAAACCTGCTAACCTCGTCAGTCTTCCCTCTCACTGGGAGCCTTGGGCTCATCATCATGGAGCAATAACTGTTGTCTATGTATTTTCTTATATTGCTCCTTCTATCTGGAATTACTTCTCTACTGTCTTCTGTTCGTTTCTGACTGACACATTTTCGAACTTACATTTTAAGATTCTGTTTATGCAGCATTACCTAAGATGGCATTAAGTATGCCATCTCTTGTGCTCTAATGTTCTCTGTAGAGAAATAAGCATATTTTGTTCCACTCATTTATGTACGTGTCTGTTCTTTCAGTAAGACTGACTGTGTCCTTCTTGAGGGTAGGGACCATCTCATTCATCTTTGCATCTCCAGCAGTGCCTAACAGCAAACAAGTGCTTAAACATGGGATTACACATCTCCCCACGCTCTGTGACAACAGAAGCAGTCTATGTATGATCGCTAGCACTTGCTTTTGTAAGCATGGTTTCCTTCTTTGGAATTCTTCTTTTTGAGAGCCTGCGATGTACTGGTTCAGAGCATGGATTCTGAAGCTAGATTTCCTGAATTCAAAACTTTTCTTGCTATTCCCTTGCTATGTGAACCTTTGGCAAGTTACTTAAACCCTCTCTATATAGTGGGAATAATAGTGGCTGCCTTGTAACTGCTGTGTTGATGAATCATGTATTGATATAGAAGTGCTTATTAGAGACTAGTAGACACTAAGCTTTCAGGAATATTGGCTATTATCATCAAAATTTCAATCAACCTATTTAAGCTTGCCTTTTACAGTGCTAATCAGAGCTTATTTTTAGACAAAATGCAAATTAAATTATATTTACAAAATTAGATTAATCAAGTTCCCTCAAAATCCTAAAAAACAACTAAAATTCAGTTAACATGAATTCACCCATTCTTCATCGAAAAAAATTCATCTTGTTTTTGCCAGGGGGTTGATAATACTTGATAATACTTTCTTGTAGCATGGTGAGTTTTATGGCTTTTCAGAGGTCGCGTAGTTAAGTATATCAGTTGATCTATACATGTCAAATTGCTGGATTTGGTCTAGTTACAAGTGGCCAGGCAAAGTTCAGTAACTATCCAGAGCATCAAAGGAATGACTAATATCGAAGCATTTCGTTTTCTCTTCCCATTTAGAGAGGAAAAATCTAGGGCTAGTGTCTAAGCTATCACCTGTATCTCTATGTGATTAATCAAAGTCTCACCTTGTCTTTGCTGTACAATTGCCTGCCCATCACGCTATGTAGTGGCATCACTTGATTAGGAAGCAGTGATTTCATGAAAACCACACACACACACACACACACACACACACACACACACACCACATAGCAGGTTAGAAACAGTCTCTTAACATACAGTAAAATGGCTTAAGAACTCAGCAGAGCTGACCTTTCTTAAATTACTCTCTTTTTAGAAAGTCAGAAGCAGAAAGCACAAAACCCTTGAATTCACAGCCACCAAAAGGCTAAGGTTAACTTGCCATTAACAGGTTTGAGAGATGAGCCCTAACCTCAGGGGACAGATGTTTTTCTTGTACAAATGACACCCTTTTATGTATTGTTCTCCACCACCCCCGCTCAAACAGCTACTCAACCGATGAAACAAATTGCACCATGAGCACAGATAACCTCAGGCTGTAGGTCTGTAATCTGACTGTGGCCATCAGCAGCCAGAAATGAGTTTCTTTCTAATCAGCCTTCCATCAATCCCCAGTCACTCATATAAAGGAGCCCAGGGAGGCGAGGGTTCATATTGCTCTTCCTTCAGCACCAAGATTTTGGACAGCGACCCAACGCGGCTGCAGCTCGCGCCCCTTCCTCTCTGGAGCTCCACCAGCAGTGCTCCTACCCCGTTAGTCCCACCTGCTGCAGAGAAAGAAAATTAAACCGGGGTCCATGCAGCCGGCAATGATGATGTTTTCCAGCAAATACTGGGCAAGGAGAGGCCTTTCCCTGGATTCAGCAGTGTCTGAAGAGCTACTTGGCAGCAGCGTAACAGTGAGTACTGAGTCCCTGGCCCTCTCAAAAGCAGAGAGTCTTCCTGGGTAGCAATGGTCTCTTCCTCACCATGTGGACACCTGGTGTATTGTGAGCACAAAACCTCATATCCCTCCACCTTTATCATCTACCTTACCCACCTCCCTTTCTCCCCTCCAAAAAGTACTTACTAATGGCTATGTGCTTACACACGCTTTTCTCCAATCTGTCAGTATAAAGTTAAGAAACTCATAAAAATTAAGAACAAGAAGGAACAGTATAAAGATACTGTTTTACCCACAACTAAAAAAGTTTTTTGAAAGGTTATTATGAGGAAGAACACAGAAGGAATCAGATCCCTAACTTCCACAATATTATTGCTTCTTCTATACCCTTCCATTTACGAAGCTCATAAGTCAGTGTATATATATATACACTCTTGTCTGTAGATGCAGGCTAATGTAATGAAAGACAGATCAGGTTCCTTTCAAAAAGTTTTTCTGCATTTCTTGTTACTTTTGTCTTTTTTCTTTTCAACCGATGGAGAATTGGAAACAACACACCATTTGCTTTAAGGAGTTGTTATATCCTAAATATTAACAGAACAAAAATGCTATGTATATTTGTAGATTCTAATTTGAGGTAGTAGCTGTAGAACTTAACAAAGAATGGCAGTGAAAGAAAAATGTGTTCAGGTTCCTGTTCATTAAAAATATTAAGTGGTATTTCAGTACTTAACTATCAGGGTTTATCAGCTATAATGCCAGTTCCGTTTGTATCATGAAAAAAAGATCGGTTTTAATATTGCAGCTCCAAATAAATGCCAGAGGCCTGCTTTGTGCTGACATATTCTTACTGCTAACAGTGCTGAAAAGTAATCATAGGACGTTTAGTAGCATTATTTAATTAGTTTGCAAAAAAATGTGGCCTAAACAAAAATGGAATGTCTAATGTTTAAATATCATGAATATTTGGAATGAGATATGACACTGAGGAATCTTGAAGTTATAATGAACTGCTAGAAGGAAAACAAAGGAAATGCAGAGTTATGGTTAATGTAAGGCCTTGTCATGTAGAAAACACTACCATCAGATCTGTGAGCTGGACGCGAAGGAGGAGGCAGAAGTGAGAAGACTGAGATGTGAGCGTTTAATGATCAACATACTGTCCAATATCAATGTCTGCCTAAACTTCTTTCCCTCAAGTAATAAATAATGAAATGTGGTGCGATCTTTTCTATAATGTGTATGTCTAGTGAACGAAGCAACCCCAGCTACTCTCAAACAGAGAGCCAGGAAAGGATCACTGTTCCATATCAAACGCACACATTTCTCAGTCCCACGAGGGCGAAATAGATCGGTGTGATTGCGTTCTCTTACAGTTGGATGGAAGAATGTCCTCTGTTTGCCTAATTACATTTGCATATAGAGGGCAGACAGAAATCATAGTTTTGCATTATCTGTTCAATGTAAGTTTCAGCTTTCTGCACTTTTGACAATGTGATTTGAGTTGCTCAAATCTGTCATTTTCTTCTTTAACCAACACAACAAATAGCCATTATTTAATCATTTATTGCAGTATTGTGAATGTGAATGAATGGCTAATTCTTTTTAGTATTCAGAGTCTGCTGTTTGCTTCTAAGGATGCACTAGCTCGTACTCATCGTTTCTTTCTCTGAACTGTGTCTGAATTTTAAGTCATCATGTGCCATCACTGATGGTTCTAGTTAAAATGAACACTGTTTTAGCTTCTGAATTTCTATAGGCAGATTCGTGCTGACAAAGGGGATCTAATTGCAGAAGGTAATGTCACCCATTTCAAGGTATGTCTTGCTGTATTTTAGAATGAAATAGATATTTTGTCCTTTAAATTGAATTGAAGCTAAAGTGATTGTTGTGAAAAATGTTTAGTCCTATTTTTTGATGCTTCATAATTTTTATGGTTTCTGTATGTTACAACTAGCAAACAGACCAAACTTTATATGATAAAATAAAACTTGAATGGTAATAATTATTCATAAATTATACTTTATGCTTTTTGATCATCATATTTCTTTGCTATTAAAGTAAATCAGATCTGCTATTAAAGCAAATCCTTTTATCATCAAGCACTTGATGAAATCATAGAGCCCTAGGAAGTGGTGTTCCACAGTAAATGAGACCAGTAGTTATAATGGACAGTTATGAGTGACGTACCAACTTCACCTTGACTCTGTATGATTGCTGAGGAATACCTGGGGCAGCGGGGGAGGACCTACGTATGAAGGATTGTGAAGTTGTAACTCGCAGCTTTTTATCCTCTTCCTTCTTGAAGCCCAATAAAGCTAGCGCTGGCAAAAGCGAGCAGAAAGCAAGCAGCCAGGAAGGCAGCCGAAGTGAAACTGCTAGCGAGAGCGGCAAGACAGCGGTCATCTTCTCCCTGAAAAATGAAGTTGGTGGCCTGGTGAAGGCTCTGAGACTCTTTCAGGTGAATGCAAAATATCATTACACACCTTGAAAAGGAGCTGTGCACTTGGGTGCAAACCTGTCATCTGTTATGAAACATTACTGAATCAATTTCTGGATAATGTGTTGAAAGGTTCGAAGAACCCAAACTTCACGAGGCTTTGCATGCCGAACAATGAAGTAAGCAGATTTGTGTGAACTATGATTTATTAACTCCGAGGTAGGCTAGGCTATTCGGCCCTCACAAGACTGTTGGCAGGTGAAGTCACTAATTCAAAGACGTGAGCCTAACTCCTGAAAATGCAAACGTAAAAGGAGCCACACGGGGTTCCTTTTAAATATCAAGAGCCTGCAGCCTGATGTGATTTGTTAAAGTTGGAGTTGTGCACACGTCCTAGGAGCCTGGTTATTGCATAAAGTGAGATACCACAGTATAGGCAGTTGACACTCCACTAAGTCTTGTTTTGTGAGCTCAAGTGTCTTTTTGTTTTTGTTTTTTGTAAAGACACACTAATTTTTAAAAATTATTTTATTGGGGGCTCATACAATTCTTATCACAATCCATCCATCCATCCATTGTGCCAAGCACATTTGTATATTTGTTGCCATCATCATTTTCAAAACATTTGCTTTCTACTTGAGCCCTTGGTATCAGCTCTACCTTTCCCCCCCTCCTTCCCCGCCCCCCTCATGAACCCTTGATAATTTATAAATTATTATTATTTTGTCACATCTTACACTGTCTGATGTCTCCCTTCATCTACTTTTGTTGTTGTCCGTCCCCCAGGGAGGAGGTTACATGTAGATCCTTGTAATCCGTTCCCCTTTCCACCCTCCCCTCCTTCCACCCTCCCCGTATCAGCACTGTCACCACTGGTCCTGAGGGATTCACCTGCCCTGGATTCCCTGTGTTTCCAGTTCCTGTCTGTACCAGTGCACATCCTCTGGAAAGACACACTTCTTGTAGATAAGTGGCAGGGTTGCTGTTGGGTGCAGTTGCGTTGGTTCTGACTCATAGTGACCCTTTGTACAAGAATGAGACACTGCCTGGTCCTGCGCCATTATCAGCATTGTTCTTATGTTTGAGCCCATTGTTGCAGCCACTGTGTCCATCCATCTCCTTGGGGGCCTTTTTTGCTGATCCTATACTTTACCAAGCATGATGTCCTTTTCCAGGGGCCAGTCTCTCCTGATAGCATGTCCATAGTGGTAGACATCTGTGGGCTGAACCTCAAGGAGGAGTCTGGTTGGGGACAGGAGTTGAGGATGGGATTAGAAAAGTCAGAAAAGCTTTCCAGAGTATACCTGATCTCTCCCCTGCGCTTCCCCACATACCTGCCCCTACAAGTGTTTTTGCTGCTTCAGTCAACTAAACAGCCTAGAGTGGTTCGCTGTGTTGGGTGTTTGGAAAGACGCTCTGACTGGCCACCAGAAGACTCAGACCTGTGTACTCCTAACTTGCTAATTACCAAGTGCCTCCAAAGTTCAATTCCTCCATTTGCAAAAGAGGAATAATCCCTACCGAATAGGGTTGTTGTGATGAGCTCATCGGAGTCAAAGTGCTGTGTGAAGTGCACACGTGGGAGGCATCGTTTGACTGCCTCTGTGATGGCCACACAAGGGAGACAGCAGCCACCAGATGGAGTCTATGGCCTTGTTCTCTCTTGACCTTGAAGGAAAGGATCAGGCGCCATAAACAGAGGTAATGGAAATCTGGAGAAATATTTTACCCGTAATGACCTCATCCAGGGCTTTCTCCGTACAGTTCCCAGCGGCAGGCCGGTTCAGTCTGACAGCTGCATGCAGTGGGGACGTCCCTGGAGGAGCTAGCAAGCACAAACCAGAGTTTTCACTCTGCCCTTCTCTGGTCCTGGGGGTCTTAGCTAAACCACTTAACCCAGCTGGACCTGCATTCCTCCAGCTAAAGATATCTACTCTGCCTCAACTGAAGGACATTAGAAGTTCAAAGTGGCACAGTGTATGGGAAGAGTCTTCAATCTCAAACTTAACATCAGTCTTACTTTTATTACCAGCCCATTTAGAAGAGATGGTCTTTTTGCAAAAAATTAATAAGAATATGGAAATAGAGACAGTTGCCTGGTCCCAGGACTAGGTGCTGGATCTGGGAGGAGGTTGTTTGCTTTGCTCTTAGGCTGTCAGTGGAGACGACATGCGGAAAGCACTCCGATTGTATTAGGAATTGTGCTGATCGATAATCAGAGTATATCAGCTAGAGTTATAGGGAGGAGCTGGAGGTGGGAAAATGGGGTAGAGAGGAGAACTTAGTCTTGAATTAATGAAAGTGAAAAGAAAAACTAGCCTGTCAACTATCCACCTTACTATCAAGTGTGCCCTTACTGCCCTCTTTTCCACACTGACTTGTAAGGAGAAGTCATCTCTGAAATCCTTTGTAGGGTTGTAGTTGTAACAACACAAGCTTGGATGGAGCCAGCCTGAGGGTTGCAGAAGGACAATTCCTAGGCAACCCCAAGTAAGGTTTTGCAGTTTTGTTTTTCTCTTTCACTGTTCCCTAAGCGAGGTCCCTGGGTGGTACAAACATTTGCTCTCCACGTCTAACCAAAAGATTGGCAGTTTGAAAGCGCCCAGCCCTGCCTTGGGAGAAAAGTCCTCACGATTTATTTCTGTAAGATTACAGCCATTCAAACCCCACGGAGCTCAATTGGACGCTGCAACCCCTGGCGCCTCGAGGCGTGAGAATCAAGTTGAAGGCAACATGGGGTTTTTCCTGAGGGGAGGGGCCTCTCAGGAAGTTATTTGTTATTTGCCTTCAGAGATTCGCTTTTCACTACTTTCCCCGCTCCTTTTCCCTTTCCATACCATGTGGGCTACCACTGAGCAGTGTTTCCCAAACATCAGTCCTTCGCATACCACCGCTGGAATTTCTAGTCCTGGTGGCCGCAGTGCTTACACCCTGCAGTGCGGTCTTCGAGGTTGGTAGTTCGAAACCACAAGCAGGTCTGCAGGGAGACAGCCGGGGATTTCTCCTCCCGTAAGCACTGACAGTCTCGGAAACTCACAGGGAGGGGCCGTTCAATCGGAGGAGTCAGAATTGACTCGATGGCAGTGAGCTAGTTTCAGAGTTTTTGACTTTCTAAATATATTTGCCAGCTATCTGTACTATTATTTTTAAAAGTTGCTTTTGAGCTTCAGTTCACTTCAAAAGTAAACTTTATAGTATTATAAAATCAAGATTAAAATTTAGTTTTCTTGGATATAGATATCCACTATACATATAATTTTCTTTTTCTTTTCCCCCCCAATCATTTTATTAGGGGCTCATACAACTCTTATCACAATCCATTCATATATCATTTGTGTAAAGCACATTTGTATATTCATTGCTCTCATCATTCTCAAAATATTTGATCTCCATGTAAGCCCCTGGCATCAGCTCCTCATTTTCCCCTCCCTCCTCGCTCCCCTCCCTCATGAACCCTAATTTATAAATTATTATTTTGTCATATCTTGCACTGTCCGACGTCTCCCATCACCCACTTTTCTGTTGTCCGTCCCCCATCACCCACTTTTCTGTTGTCCGTTATATGTAGATCCTTATCATCGGTTCCCCCTTTTCACTCCACTCCACCTACCTCCTGGTATCACCACTCTCAACACTGGTCCTGAAGGGATCATCCGCCCTGGATTCCCTGTGTGTGTGTGTGTGTATGTATGTGTGTATGTATGTATATATGTATGTATGTATGTATGTATCTATCTATTAATTACAACATATTTTTTTCCTCTGAAATAATCATGCATTCCACTAGAGGGATGTGAACCACATCTGTGAAGTGATGATGTATGTTCACTCTTGTAAAAAGTTACAGAAGTTCTGCCTTAGCCTATAGGGTGCCATGAGTTGGAATTGACTCGATGGGAGAGGGAGAAAGAATACATACAGTTAAGCACTTGATTAGTAACAGAGAGACTGGTGGTTTGAACCCACCCAGGGGGACATGGGAAGACAGACTATTGATCTACTTCCAAAAGGTCCCCTGACTTGCAAGTACTGTGGAGCACAGTGTACAGCACTGCACACAGGAGGTCACCTTCACCGACTTGCTATTAACCACTTCACTTTTGGTTTATATGCATATGTGTATGTATTATATATATGTATATATATCACGTACACACACTTGTCTCTTCATAGCTCTTAAAGGCCTGTTTCCTCTTTAAATGGGGTTGAAAAACCCACACACCGACCTACAGTCCCACCTTTGAGCCCCTCAAAGAGCAGATGTGACTGTCTTTTGCCGGTTTCACAGGCCCTCGGCACCTTGTGGCCTGACAGCTGAACAAGAGCGGCCCGTGGCATCCCTTTTATCGTCCCCTGAAGGGGTTTAGAGCTCTTGCTTATGTTTCTGCAGGAAAAGTGTGTCAACATGGTTCATATCGAATCCAGGAAATCCCGGAGAAGAAGTTCTGAGGTTGAAATCTTCGTGGACTGCGAGTGCGGTACAACAGAATTCAATGAGCTCGTTCAGTCGCTGAAATTTCAAACCACAAGTGTGACCCTGAGCCCACCAGAGAACATTTGGACAGAAGAAGCAGGCAAGGCCTTTTGTTGCTTGTCGGGTGGTTTTGCCATCTGCCAAATGTTGCAAAGGGGAGTCTGCAGTCTGTGTGCTACTATGTTTGAACATGCACTGTGTTTTCCACAGAGCTGGAGGACGTGCCCTGGTTCCCCCGGAAGATCTCGGAGTTAGACAAATGCTCCCACAGAGTTCTCATGTATGGCTCTGAGCTCGATGCCGACCACCCCGTAAGTGTCCAGTCAAATCATTTCACATGTATGCTCTGAGCTCCGCCCTTGTGCCGGGCGCCGCGCCATGTTCTGTGCTGCAATGCTTCCTTGTAGAGCAAGTTATTATTTATTCTCCGTTGCCGAGAGCACGTTTGCAAATGACGAAGCTTCTCTGCACACATGCTTGGCCAGAAGCAGGCTAGAAGGTTGACATTTCCACATAACATTTATTTTTCCAAGGGTTGGAGAGAGGAGGCGATTCTAAACCTTGGAGAATATTTCTGTAGAATTAGACATCTTGAAATGTACTTGCAGATGGTGACCCTTGGAAATGGGATGAACTAAAACTGAACACACCGTCGGGAAACTCGAGAGGGCTAGCAGGGTGGGGCTCAGTCGGAGGATACGATCCGTACGATCCTGTCTTGTTCGGTCCGTTCACTGGAGGTGGTTAGCAGTAGTGGAGTGTGGTTGACTTCAGTCTCAAAGGAAAGGCCGAGGGTTGTCGAACAAGGCCGTGATGGGGGATGCATTGCTTCCCACCTCTACCCTGAATCTACCACCGTCTGTCTCGCTTCTGCATCAATAAAAATGACCTCCTTGAAAGAAATAGGATATTTGGCTAAGCAGTTCCCATTATTTCTCCCCTTTACACCAGTTTTTTTATTTTACACAAGAGATCTGGAAATACTTTAGGGTCCGAATGAAGTACAGTTAATAGTGTGGGAGAAGTAAGCAATGTACTCATTCATTACAAGCCCCCCACGCCCCCTTTCCTGGTGCTTCTCCTTTACAAATGGACAGAGGAAAGGATGAAAGCCAAGGAGCTTAATCACGCCTGTCAGAGGCCTTTGGGGCCTGAGGACAACAGTTATAACCAAACCGAAGACCAAACTTACTGCCCTAGACAATGAGTTAATTGACATGGAGCAAATGTGGGCATCTGACAGTGTGACTGTGCTCCAGGCCCGCCCATGGCCAGTGAGCAGATTCCCACTCCTCGCGATCTGATTGGAGGGGAGAACTGCCCCCCAGAGTTTCCAAGGCAGGAAATCGCTACAGGAGCAGACGGCCTCTCCCTGCGCCCTCAGAGCAGCTGAATGGGTTTGAATGCTGATCCACAGCCCAGGCAGCGCTTCTCAAGGTGGGTTTCCCGGACCCCCAGCAGTAACATCACCAGAGAGTGGTGTGGTTTTTTTTTTAATTTAAATTTTATTGTGCTCTTGACAATACACACCGCGCCCCTACATGACTGGAGCCGTTTCTGCACAGACTCGGTGACACTGAATGGCACCGTTCTCAGCCTCCTTCTCTGAGTTACTCCTCCCTCCGTGAACACAAGTGGGAGCTTGTTGGAACGCACGCACGCACGCACGCACGCACTTCAGTCTGAGCAGCACTCCTTTAAAGCAAACTACGACAGCTCCAACAAGAGGGCACATTTTAGTCAAAGCAGTCATTTGGCACAGGATCCTGTCAAACAGACAGATCTAGCTCAATTGCCTGTTTTCGAAAAGCTGAATTAACTCAACGACAAAATTTTAGAATGTTTCAGAGTAATTCCCATGGGAGGCTCCTTAGAGCAGTGGTTCTCAACCTTTCTAATGCCATGGCCATTTAATATAGTCCCTCATGTTGTGGTGACCCCCCCCCCCAACCATAAAATTATTTTCATTGCTACTTCATAACTGTAATTTTGCTGCTGTTATGAATCGGGCGACCCCTGTGAAAGGGTCATTCAACCCCCAAAGGGGTCACGACCCACAGGTTGGAAACCACTGCCTTAGAGGAACATTGGGAAAAATATTTGCAAGGACCTTCAATAACCACCCTTCCCATCCCCCTCCCTGCACGACTCTCAGAGGCATTTGGTTCAGCACAGGCACCTGTTTTAAGAGATGAGCCGTGTTCAAACCACACAGACTCCAGCTCTTAACTTGCAGGATGACCTTGGGCAAGTCACTCTACTTCTGCTCATCAAGTTCTTTATGTAAAAAGTGGAAGTAAAACGCTTATCGGCCTCAGAGGGATGCTTGAACACAACTCTAGTTAATAAAACAACCGGAAAGCATTTTGGCATGAGTAAATGCTTAGTTCCAGGATTGGAAATACTGTATTAAATCATCCACACCAATCAATGCCTGGACAGTAAAGGAGTTCTCTTTAACCTGCTATTTCTAAGTGGCCTTCTTAGTCTAGTGAGAAAACCATTCAACCTGGAGAGAGGAGGCCAGCCCTCTGAGTGGAACAGCCACAGGAGCGGCTGACCTTGAGGTGAAAAACTTAGTCTGCTATACTGTGTAAATTTTGCTGGGCTAATTTTAATCCATTACTCCTAATTACACCCACCGTTGATACCTTCTCTTCTTTTCTGTCCAGCCACTTGAAATAATTGCAAGTACTTAGAAATACCATACTTCAATGATTTTTTTTAAACCACATTTTTCTTTTGTAAACACTCGAAGTGCTCATTATGCAAAAGTTTGATATTGGTAAATTTGTGTTTTTATACATTATTTTTGGTTAGGATGGGGGGGGGCTAAGTACTTTTTTTATTAGATGGGATTTAATACATATATCATTCCATATTTCGATCACATCAAGTACAATGTACCATTGCTACCACCGTTTCGAAACATTCTTTTTCTACATGGATTCCTTGACATTGTCTTCCTTTTACCTCGCCTCCACACTGTACTGCCCCCCACCCCCAGAACCCCTCATTCTACTTGCTGTCCCTATAGGTTCGTCAGTCCTGGGTTTCATATCCCAAGAAATGGAAAAGCCTCTAACACAGCTTCAAGAGGGTGACCTCCACTGGCGTAACCCCTCTGAGATACACTCTAATATGAACAAACACAAGCCGAAGAAAACAATACAAACCCCAAATACAGAAAACTTGGAAACCAGATCAGGTCCAGCCGACATCATAGGACCTACGTACTTTTTATGCCTGGGAATGATCACCGCCTTGAGCCAGACACCCAGGCCTCTGGAATAGGCTGGCACAGCAGGGGCTTGGCATATAAGAACAGGCTGCCCAAGTTTCCCTATGCTGTTAGCTGCCAGGGATTTGGCTTCCTGAATCATGTTGACAGTTCACACAGCCCCAAGACACACTGCGGGGCTGCAGCTTGCCTATGTTCAGATAGAGATCGGATGCTTGGGATTTCTAGGATTTTGATGGGCTGATTTGTAGAAGCAGCTGCCAGACCTTTCCTCTTAAGCGTCTCTAACCACCACCATGGAATCATTTCTGACTCAGGGACCCTCTGTGGGGTTTCCAAGGGTGTACATCATTACAGGAACAGACAGCTTCATGTTTCTCCCACGGAACGCCTGGCGGGTTTAAACCACTGACCTTGCAGTTAGCAGCCCAACCCTTACTACCAGGGCTCCCCAAGTTCTTTCCAAAGCAAAGCAAACCAAATTCACTGCCATGGAGTCCCTGTTGACTCATCGCTCCCCGCTGTGGGTTTCGAGACTAGCTGTTTACCAGAGTAGCAAGCCCCCTCCATGCACCTCAAAGGGGAATGCGCAGACAAATCACCTGGAGGAGGTTTAAAAATGCAGAATGGGATTCCCTTGGGGCCAGGAGTGGCCCTGAGATTCTGCAGTTCTAGCTAGCTCCCCTGAAGCTTAGATAAGAGGCCTGGGGTCCCAACTTTGAAGAGCAACGATGTAGACTAGGGGAGTCTGAATGTGTGGTGCAAGCAACTTGTTTTGGTGGTGTCTTGAGGCTTGCCTGAAACCTGTGGAATCAGAATTTTCAAGGAAGGGACCTGTACTTTTAAAAATTGGCCAGAGATTCTGATTAGCCCTCAAGTTCAAGAACTAATGATCTAGCTTCTCACCATGAGCTTCCCACTCAAATCATCTTGGGGTCCTCATCCCATAGCACCGGAATCACAGTCTCTGGGCAAGGGCCCAGAGTTGGAGTATTTTTCAAAGCTTCCCAGGTGGGGCAAGCGTGCCGTAGGGCTGGCTTGCTTGGGAGAGCTTTGTGAGTGCTACTCTAGTTGAGTACATTCAGGTGCAGCCTGGCTCTTCAGTTCTTGATTTAAGTGGGGGAAAGCAGGGTAGGCTGGTGTAGCAGGTGCTACTGGGCTGGCAGGCCCTAGGGTTGCTGGGTTTAGCAAATAAATATACACAATGCTCAGTTGAATGGGAATGTCAGGTAAACATTGAATATTTTTGTAGTATAAGTATGTACTAAATATTGTGTGGAACTTGCTAATAGTAAGAAAATAAAATACTGTTGATCTGAAATTCAAGTATAAACTGGGAATCGTATGTTTTATCTGGCAACTGTAGCCCTGGCTTCAGTCCAGTACAAGGGGCCAAGGAATGTTGTGTCTCTGTAATTGCTAGTGTTGTGAGCATCCGTGTTGCACTTTGCCAGTTCGTGGTTCAATCCAGGAAGCTGGATCAAGCACAACTCTTGTGATCACTGCCCCACTGTGCTAATGAGGCATGATGAGTAAATCACTCTCCTGCATCCCTGGAAAAGGTGCAGTTGTTTACTGAGGAAAGAGGGTCCAGATTCCTCACGAAGCCCAGTAGATTAGGTGGCTGTTGCCATGGTATCTGGTCTGGCACCACCAGGGAACAGATGCTGCCTTTTTGGTGGTGGTGTTATTTTTCTAACCACTCTCTGTTTGTCATGACCTGCTTTTTTCTTCTTCTTCTTCCTTTTTAATAAGAAAGATGCTTGGAATTCTTCAGTTTTACAATCACAGGTCATCAGATTTACTCAGGAGTGCTGAAATAATTTTTAGATTTACCAGAGCCACCTTTCTACATCAAGGAGCTCCGGTGGACTAGTGGTTTATGCATGGGGCTGCTGAGCACAAGGTTGGTAGTCCACATCCACACTGTGGGGCAATGTGAGGCTTTCCGCGCCTGCAGGGCCAGTTCTGGCCTGCTGCTAGGCTTGCTAGGAGCTGCAATCCCTGCGCATCATGTCTGTCAGTTGTCACTGGGCTGACTGACTTCTGGTGGCCCCCTCTGGCTCAAGAAGCACTGTGTTCCATAGAGCTGACAGTGACTCGTTCTTGGGAAGTAGATAGCCAAGTCTCTCTCCTGCAGTGCCTCTGAGTTGACTAGAATGCGCAGCCTTTCAGGAAGCGGAGGAGCACATTTAATGCTCCAACCACCAGCCACCCCATCCATCTTCGACAGCAGTAGGAGTTACCCTCTGCTCAGGTCACAGGTGATAACTATGGTCACACATTTTTGTACACACACGTTAGGGTTGCACAAGCTGCCTGTGAGTCCCAGTTTAGAAATTCCTGATTCACAGCCCAGGGAAGAAAGTGCTAGCATGTGGGATGTGGTTGCTTTGCTGGGGGAGTTAGAGTGATTTCAGGTGCATTTGCTCCCCACTCACTAGGAGTAACTCTCTCATCATTCCCCAGAGCAAGGCTTGGAGGGTCTTCATTTAGCTCCACTGGAGACAGTCCTGCGAAGATTTCTGACTTCATGGTCGGTGCTGCTTCAGGCCGACTAGAGAATGCATTGCTTTCTCGTGAGATTGAAGCTCCTCATGAATAACCACCGGGTAGAACTGTCGTAGGTGCAGCAGAGGTCATCTAGGCGGGTCATAGAGCCGGACTCTGTCCTATCTCAGATCCCATAGTCACGACAATTGTCTTCTTGCCTGGCCTCCCTTCTCAGAGTAGCACTTGCTTCCCAGACAGCGAGCGTCCTGGGTTGCTGGGTTGCACAGGTAAGAAAGTAAATTGAAACAATTCCTTCTGGGCTTCCCGAGGTTTGAAGAAACAAGCTCGGGAAGAATTGAATATCTGAAAGTATCTGAAGGAAAGGAAAATGGAAAGTCTTTTGAAGAGAGGAGAGCTTTTTTTGAGCAAACCAGCAAGCTCTCTCAAAGGGATTCAGTTGACTGAAGAATGACAGACAGGGTTTTTAATTTCCCAAGTGCGTGGTGATGGATGGAAATCTAATGTTGGCTAAGGCTAATTAGAACCATAGGAACTCGGTGTGGAATGGGGCTCACCTGCTACCTGTGAATGATTTTGCGTTGTGTGGCTGAAGCCATAAAATACAGCAAAGCCTCTTTAATTCATGCTAATTTGGGGATTTGATGATTATTCTGAATAATAGAATTTAAATACATATGTAATTTTTAGTCACTTACACGAAGCAATGAAAATGTGGTTGGTTAACTGAATAGCCATGTGAAAGGGATTTGTTTTAATTAATGGGATAAGATTAGTTTGCGATTAAGGTCAGTTACATTTAAATAATATTTGAAAACAAGAAGGTATTTTCATAAGTTTGGTTAACTAAGTATTCTGCCTGCTTAGTGGGAAGGTGAATGTTATCCTCAACTCCCAGAACACATCCCAAATGAGTACAGCCGAAAGTTAAGGGGGGTTTGCTGTATGCAGCACCATTTGCTTCTGACTGTGCCATCCAATGGTCATGCAGGGATGAGAGTTACACGTGTGCTGAGCACTTAGTAAGCATCATGGTGATTTTCCTTTAGGCTTTCTGCAGCTGAGATTCCTGTACTTAGTTAAATAACGTAATCTCTTTCATTTTTAAGGGATTTAAGGACAATGTCTATCGACAGAGAAGAAAGTATTTTGTGGATGTGGCCATGGGCTATAAATAGTAAGTACCTGTGTAACTCTTTCTTGTGACTGGTCACTGGCCAGTTAACAAAAGCACATGCTGTGTTAAACAGACCTGTCTTCTCTTCAGTTTAACTTTTGCAGGAGGCAGATATGAACCATTTGAAACACTTTCCAACTCTATAGGCTTGAAATGCCAACCTTGATGTTTGACATCTGGTATAGTTGTAAAAGAATGAGGCCTATGGGCCATGTGCCAAATGCTACGTTTTCACCATTGTTTTTGCAGCTCCACTAAGGCCAGGATCCATTTTTGTACACTCTGCAGGGCCTGGAAAATGTGTTTTAATTTTACTTTTGACTTGACTTTTTGGAAATTCCCTTCAGTGTCCAGCCTCCTCAATGAAAGTAAAGGATTCAGTAAGAACGGTGGATCAGCCATAACAGAAAAGAATCATGCTTGCTTTTAATGGGAAGGGAAAGTTCTGGAAGCTGACAGGGTTATGGGCAAGTTTCAGACCCCATCCGGTTTTGGGTTGGGATGGAAGTGGAAAGTCTTGTGGCTGGGAAGAGGATGTGCATGGCACACAGCTCTGTGGGGGCAGCAGGCATGAATGCAGTGTGTCGACCCTCCGCAGGCTAGCTCTAGGGAGTGAAGTGAGGCCAACCTTCTGTTTATTCTCTGCTCGCCAGTCTAACCCACAGCCCATTGATGCTCTCTGTCCTTCGTCTGCTAGGAGAGCAGCTGCAGAGTTATGTCGTCAGGACAGAATGGAAACCCATGTCTGGCAGAGGCCCGAGTCTTCTCACGCTCGTTGACCCTCGTCCAGCAGCTTGACTGCTTTAGGGGGCAGGTTTGTTCCTGGCAAGGATGGAGGACACTTAAAATATATATATTAGCAAGGATGGTTTTAAAAAATCAGAACTATATTTTTGTAAAGAATGTGACATCACCATCACCATCAGTTCCTCTTGAGTCAACTCTGAGACTGCATAGAGACCGCATGTGCTTCAGGGTAGAACTGTGCTCCCAGACGATTTCAGGGGTGGCTCCGTGGGAATGAAGGTGCCTTGTATGTGAGGTGTCTCTGGTGGATTTGAACCTCCAATGTTTAGACTAGCAGCCAGTTGAATAACCATTTGCACCCATCAGATATGCACATGTGTATCACACACATACGTATGTCTGTATAAACACATATATGCATATGCGTGTACATATGTGTGTGTGTATGATATAGATACTGTGACACCCTCAAACCTCAAACTCTTGAGCACACAGGTGATTAACTCCAGCTGAGCGGATTCCTCACTGCACGGCTCATTGGAGCCAGGTGCTCATTCCTGACTTCACCTGACGCTCTGTGCGCCCCCCTCCCTCTGCCCTAGCCCAGCAGTCCCCGTTCTTTCTCAACCTGGTTTGGTATCATTAAAAACAAGACTTCTTGGTACATGCTTCTCTACTGTATCTCCTCCATTTTCAACTCCTCTGCTCCCGGGAGCTCCTTCCGCCCCTCTCTGGTGGCATTCTGCTCCCTCCCAGCCTCAGTGCGCACAGCAGGCCTTTACCTCAGTCCAACCTCATGCCACCCTTTTGCCCTGAGCCCTGCTGCTCACCTGCCCAGCCTCTCCATGAGTTATAGCGCTGGCTCCGGGCTCCCAGTGGAATCAGGTCAGACCTGCCGAGAAGGAGTCTGGGAAGAGGTGTGGGAAGGGCAAGGAGCCCTCATGGCACAGCGGGTTAAGTGCTGGGCTTTTAACTGCGAGGTCCCCAGCTCACACCCACGAGCAGCTCTGTGTAAGAGAGATGAGGCTGTCTGCTCCTTAAAGATGTACAGCCTTGGAGACACTAGGGAGATGGTCCACTTTGTCCTTTAGGCAGACGTTGAGTCAAAATTGTCTTGATGGCAAAGAGCTTGGTGGGCAGGGCAGGCTGTGGGGCACGAGGAGAATTAAGTGTGTGGGTGTATTAAACGACACATGCACTTACACGTGAACACATGTACACGTATGTGTTTTATACTTGTATACATGAGTTGTACACAGGAATATGCACACATCACATGCTTATATACATGTATATACACACATATATAAAGGATTTTGTTAGCCTAGTGATTAAAGGACTAGTTAAATGTTACTGTTGTGGTGACATTCATAAACCCAAACCCTAAATCACTGCCATTGGTTCCATTCTGACTCGCAGCGACCCTGTAGGACAGGGTAGAACTGCCCCTGTGGGTTTCTGAGGCCAGAAGTCTTTATAGGAGGAGAAAGCCTCATCTTTCCGCCTCAGAGTGGCTATGGGGTTTGAAATGCTGACTTCGTGCTTACCAGTCCAACTGGAAGCCCTCTACACCACCAGGGCTTCTTGGTGACACTACGAGAATTGATGTAGAGGAGACCACCATTGCATTAGGTAAATCTGCTACACAAGACCTCCTTAAAGTGTTGGAAATCAAGGAGATTGCTTTGAGGAATAAGATGTTTTCAATGACCTCATATGGATGTGAAAGTTGGACATTGAACAAGGAAGACAGAAGCATTATGGTGCTGTGAAGAATATTGAAAGTATCATGGACTTCCACTGCCCAAATGACCAATAGATCTGCCACAGAAGCAGTACAGCCAGAATGCTCCTCAGAGGCGAGGATGACAACACTTTCTCTCACCTACTGTGGACATGTTCCCAGGAGGGAGCAGCCCTGGAGAAGGATGTCACACTTGGTAAAGTAGAGGGGCAGTGACAAAGAGGAAGGCCCTCAATGCGATCAATTGACACAGTGGCTGCAACAGTGGGCTCACTATAAGAACCATCGTGAGGATGGCGCAGGACCGGTGGTGCTTTGTCCTGTTGTACACAGGGTCGCTATGAATGGGAACCGACTAGACTGCACCTAACAACACATGAGGCAAGCAGTTTCAAGGGGCATTGAGCATGCGGAGCCATGTGGTTTTAAAGAAAACCTATTTATATGAGGCTGAGAGGAGAGGAGAAGAGCATATAGTCACGATGAGGGAGGATGAGGCTCTCAATACTCAGCATTTCCACTCATTGCTTTTCATTGTATGTAGTGAGATGGAGGTTCAGGGGGAGAAAGGTAGGAATGGGAAGGCAACACTGAGGACGATGCAGTATAAGGAATGGCTGGAGGGCCGGGGAGTGCCGGGCTCCAGGTGCCTGGCTCTGCATACCTGAGTGCTCTAGGGGAAACTGCCCATTCATGGTTTTACAGTGCGAAGTGACTCTCGTATGACTATGAGGCTCCCCTGTTGTCATCATACCACCAGAAGTGGCTCACTTACAACCCGAGGGTAGTTCGGTGGGTGCAAAGACAGAGTAAACGGTGTTTAACTGAAGAGAGTTTGAAGGGCTATTATTAGAGCTAACACTTAAACATTTTTTAAAATTGGGGGTTCTTACAGCTCTTATCACAATCCATACATATATCCATTGTGTCAAACACATCTGTACATATGCTGTCATCATCTTTTTCTTTTTAAAATAATTTTATTGGGGGCTCGTACAACTCATCATAATCCATACA